TTATACATATATACAATATATATGTACGTATATATATTTAATGTAAATAGTACAAATAAATATAAATAAATAAATAAATAAATAAATATAAATCTACTGTGAAATGGCAAGGATATACATATATACGGGCAGACTAGTCGGCTTAAAGACGGTTAGGCAATGAGTCCACACCGTCCCAAGCAGCACATCGGGTTAATTATACACCCCCCCCCCAAAAAAAATATCTCTTCTACTCACCTCATTATTAGTCTATACTTAGCACTCACAGTGTTTGTAACCAGAATTCATCTCACATGCACACAATTGTTAATCGTGAGTTGCTACCACGTACCTTTGGGCTTGCCATCCAGCACGGATATCATCTGGTCCAGATAGTCCAGCAGATATTCCTTCTCCTGTATTTGAGGTGGAGTATAAGTAATACACATAATGATACAAGGACAACTATGATGAGTACAAACAGAACGCGATCGAAACGGATTGCAGCAAGAAATAAAAGCTCTAACATATAAAAGGGACATCCGCATCAGTGGCCAACCCAGGAGAGATACACTTTGAGTGGGAGATAAAGTACATAAGAACGACAAAGTAGTACAAACATTGTGACCTACATTATAAGAGGTAGATACAATACATGTAGATACGTGCATCTTGAGTGGTTAATGCAGGACATGAGAACGACGAAGTAGTACAAAGATAGAGAGATACATTCTAAGAGGCAGATACAATACAGGCGAACGACAAGTATAGGTAGACATACAAACATACACAATGAGCATGCAGTTGTCGACACCACCCGTAGTCACACACAAACACTCGCGCATACGCATATACAGACGGGATGTCTACATTTGAGCACTCCACATCAGCAGCGATACACATTGTCAACAAACATGCCCACACACATGCAGAATAAAATCACACACCCATGTAGTACACACAGACGTACACACATACCAATATACATACACACACGCATACACACTTACATCACATACCAATACACAAATACGTACACATACGTTTGCACACACAAGATACATACACATACACATGCACACACACACACACACACACATATATATATATATATAGAAGCATACTGTTGTACGTACACACATATAACACTCTTATATATATACACGTACACATACACACACACACACACACACACACACATATATATATATATATATGCATACCATTGTGCATATACACATTTAATGCGGATGCAGTGCACTTACTTCTCTCAATACGAGTAGTTCCTCCCTTTCGGCATCAATGTCTGTGAGCGATGGTTCGGTGCGTGTCATCAGACTCAGTTGAGTCTCCAGTTTTTTTATTCGTTTGTTGAGTGCCTCGATATCTTTGTCCTTGCTCTGCGTTAGCAATGTATTGAATGTATGGGTGTGTGTGATGTGCGTGTTTGTATGTGTGTATGCATATGAAAGTATATATATGCACGTGTATATGTATATGTGCGCAAGTATGTGTAAGTATGCATATGCATGTGTGTGCGTGAAAGTAAGCGGCTGTGTAGTATCCTATGAATCATCAGACAATAGTAGTGGACATCTTTGACTATAGCCGAGTGTCCGTGAAATATCGAAGCTAGTCGAAAACCATAGGCGAGACATGTTAACGTTATCATTACAACGTGTCTGTATAACTATCTACCACCTACACGTCGACAGCCATACGTACATGCGTTCTAACAGTACATGTACACGGAGACGTATGCGCACTCTTGGAAGATCGCTGTGTAAAACGTCAAACACAACAGAGGTACACATGCAGTGTACATCAGAAGGACATATGTCTCATCGAAATGTCCATGGCTACACTTGCCCCGTGTGCCTGTATGCACATATGCTGTATGTACATATACTCGTGCGTGCATATACTGCATGTACATATATTCGTGTGTGCATATACAATCATAGCCTCATGCACATGCTCGAATGTACGTTTTCTTAAATGTATCTCCACCCATTCCTACATGGACAGCCGTAACTCAACGCAAGTACACACGTATATACACACTCTTAACCCACAGGCCATCCCTCACCCACCCACCTGGGACTCCTTCGTGAGGTTCATTGATCCTGCACGGGCACGAGTGAGATGCCATTCAACGCAAGTACATACGCATTATACACACTCTTAA